ATTGGACCCGTGTCCCTCCTGGTTGGTGCTAGCCTCCCGGGAGGTTACACGAGGCTGGCTCCAGGGGATTATCAACGCTTCCTTGAGTGAGGGTGTCCTGCCGGCCGCCTTGAAAGAGGCGGTGGTGAGGCCTCTCCTCAAGAAGCCATCCCTGGATCCGGCTGTTTTGGCTAACTATCGTCCAGTCTCCAACCTTCGTTTTATTGCGAAGGTTGTTGAGAGTGTGGTGGCATGACAGCTTCCCCAGTACCTGGATGAAGCTGTCTATTTGGATCCGCTCCAGTCCGGCTTCAGACCTGGGTACAGCACGGAAATGGCATTGGTCGCGTTGGTGGATGATCACTGGAGGGCTCGGGATAGGGGTTATTCCTCTATCCTGGTCCTGTTAGATCTCTCAGCGGCTTTTGATACCATCAACCATGGTATCATGTTGCGCCAGCTGGAGGGACTGGGAGTGGGGGGCACCGTTTTGCGGTGGTTCTCCTCCTATTTCTCCGACCGGTTGCAATCTGTGTTGACAGGGGGGCAGCGGTCGACCCCAAGGCACCTTGTTTGTGGGGTGCCACAAGGGTCGGTCCTCTCACCCTTCCTGTTCAAGATTTATGTGAAGCTGCTGGGTGAGATCATCCGTGGTTTTTTGGGGTGGAGTTCCATCAGTACGCTGATGATACTCAGCTGTACATCTCCACCCCAGACCATCCCAACGATGCCTTGGAAGGGATGTCCCAGTGTCTGGAGGCCGTGCGGGTCTGGATGGGGAGAAACAGGCTTTGACTAAACCCTTCCAAGACCGAGTGGCTGTGGCTGCCGGAGTCCCGGTATAGCCAGCTGACGCCATCGCTGGTTATTGGGGGTGAATCATTGGCCCCCACGGAAAGGGCCCGCAACTTGGATGTCCTCCTGGACGCACGGCTGTCTTTAGAAGGGCATATGACGACCGTGGCCAGGGGGGCTTTCTATCAGGTTTGCCTGATACGCCAGTTGCGCCCCTTTCTGGATCGGGACTCCCTATGCACGGTCACTCAAGCACTTGTCACTTCTCGTCTGGACTATTGTAACACTCTCTACATGGGGCTCCCCTTGGGGTACACCCGGAGGCTCCAACTGGTACAGAATGCGGCCACGTGGGGGATTATGGGAGCGACGGGGCGCTCCCATGTGACTCCTCTCCTGCGCAAGCTGCATTGGCTTCTGGTGGACTTCCGGGTGGGCTTCAAGGTGTTGGTGATCACCTTTAAAGCGCTCCATGGCTTAGGGCCGGGGTACTTACGGGACCGCCTTCTGCCACCAATAGCCTCCCACCGGCCAGTTCGCTCCCACAGAGAGGGCCTCCTCAGGGTGCCGTCAGCCAGACAATGTTGGCTGGCGACCCCCAGGAGGAGAGCCTTCTCTGTGGTGGCACCTACCCTTTGGAACAATCTACCCCCAGAGATACGAGTGATCTCTGACCTCCGGACTTTTCGTCGGGCCCTAAAAACTTATTTTTTTCAGTTAGCTGGTCTGTCCTGATTTTAGGGTTGGTTTTAAAATTTGATATGGATTTTTAAATTGTTAAGTTTAAAATTTCGGGCCAAATTTGTTTAATTATTTTAAATCTATTTTTAACTTATGTATAAATGTTTTTTATCTTGGCTGTTCACCGCCCTGAGTCCGAAAGGAGAAGGGCGGTATAGAAGTTTGAATAATAAATAAATAAATATTGTTGTGAATATTATCACTATCATTGAAATACAAAATTAACTACCCAGATAACACACTGTATATGTAGATAATGATTTTTTATGCTTATTAAAAAAATAAAACTTAAAAAAAGAGTAGTGTCCAGTTTCAATTCTGAAAAACAAGTAACAATTCCATAGCATGGCTTTATTCACTCCTTTTCTTTTCAGATGCAGGGACAGATCCTGCAGAGGAAAGAACCCTAATCAACTGAGCCCATCACTAGACCAACTTTTATAAGGGTTGAATACAAACTTAAGACATATTTTAAAAATAGATATCGATATCAGCAAAAGAGAGAGAGAGAGAGAGAGTGAGAGAGAGAAAGAGAGCGAGCAGGGAGGATAGGAGTCTGTGGGAAAAGCACAGGCAGGCAGTTTAGGGCTCAGGCAGCAGAAACTTGGAGCCGTGCAGCATGGGGAAAGGCAAGGCTCACATGGGCGGCAGAAAGGAGACAGAGAAGTGGGAGAAACATGCACATAGACAGAGCAGAAGAAGCCCAGGGGGAACAGAAAGAAGACAGAGAAGTGGGGGAAACGCGCACATAGAGTGGAAGGAAAATGGCATATGCCCATCCACCCAGGGGTGCGCATGCGTGGGATTGTTTTTTTTTTTTTTTTTTTTTGCGCTTGGCATGTTGCTTCCCTATCAGTTTGTTTTCTCCCATTTATGAAGATGAGTTTTCTAAATCTTCCCCTGCTCCTCTCCACCCCGTGCTGCAAAATTTACTTTAGCAACCAGGAGTTGCCGCTTTGGGTCCTCCTGTAAGTCCCACTCCCATCCGGAAACAGGTGCTGGATGCTTCTCTCTGCCACTTGCAGCACTTTCCCGATGAAAGTGAAGTCAGACCCAAAGCTAAATTTCGCTGTGCTGTGAAAGATGTTCGTGCTTTCCCAGCAAGAATAATGGTGGAGAGAAGCAGCCACTGACCCAGAGAGCACATGGAGCTGCTCCATATGTTCTCCAGTGACCTGTTTTCTCTCCCCTGCTGCTTTTCCTGGGAAAGCATCTTGTAAAGCACAGTGAAATGTAGCTTCGTGTCTGACTTCACTCCCATCGAGAAAGTGTTGCGGGCAGCAGAGAGAAGCAGCCAGCACCTGTTTCTCTCTGCTGCCCGCAGCGTTTTCCGGATGGAAGTAGGACTTACAGGACCCAAAGCAGCAACTCCTGGTTGTTAAAGTAAATTTCTCTGTGCGAAAGATGCTTTCCCAGGAAGAGCTGCAGGGGAGAGAAAACAGGTTGCCGGAGAATACGTGGAGCGGTTCCATGTGCTCTCCGGCTCAGCAGCTGCTTCTCTCTGCCGCAACGCTTTAGAGATGGTTCGGTAAGGTAGGTTCCAAACTGCTTCAGCCCACCTGCACCTGTGCCACCCTGCCCATCCCCCACCCTCGCTGTCCCCCCGTGGCCCTTTGGCTAAGTGTGGCAGGCCACAGGCCGGGTAAATTGGCTGTGGGGTGGAGGAACACTGAGGCTAGGGCAGGGTTCTCTAGGCAAGCATGGGCAACGAGCCTGGTCATGGGGAGTCAGGGACTGCCGGGAAGGCTACAGGGAAGGCAGGGAAGCATGGCAGGGCTGTGGGCCACGTGGAAGGGAGTAGGGGAAGGCAGGCGGGGATGGGGAGGCAGCTAGCTAGGTCACAGCCAGCACCGCCATGTGGGATGGAGCCGTGCCAGTGGAGAAGCCAGCCAGGCAATCTCCAGGAACGGGGGGGGAACTCTGGGGATGGGGGGGCTAGCGCAACTCGCAGGCAGATCAGGTTAGGCAGGCAACTTAGAGCAGATGCTCTTGTGCACATGCGCAAGCAAGGACCCACACACACTGAGGAGTGACTGGACAGGGCAAGCAGCGACTGGGTGACTGGGCGGGTGGAGGCAGGGTCAACCAGAGGTGGTATTTGCCAGTTCGGCAAACCAGTCCACATTTCCGCTATCGGTTCATCCAAACCAGTCCGAACTGTCTGAATACCACCTCTGATTCAGTATTACGATGGTCACAGCCCCCATGGACATGTGACTGACTTTTGGGCACATGATATCCTGAATGTAGCATGTTTGTGGCATTCCATGTCACATGACCATGTTTTACAAGTGTTTTGTTGAGAAGTGGCATTTACTTCTAATTTTCAGCAAAATTAACATGTTGGTTTGCTTAATAGGTGCCACAAACAAGGTCATAATATCAGATCATGGTGGCAAATTGAGAATTACCTGTACAAATTGCAAAACAGGACCCTGATTTAAAAAGAAAAAGAAATTGTAGATACTTGGAGTATAATTATTATTACTTTCTTAAACAAACAAAAAATAAAATAAAATAAATAATAAAATAAAATAAAATAAAATAAAATAAGTAATAATAAAATAAAATAAATAATAAAATAAAATAAAATAATAAGATAAAATAAATAATAAAATAAAATAAAATAATAAAATAATATAAAATAAAATAAAATAATAAAATAAAATAAAAAATAATAAAATAAAATAATAAAATAAATAAAATAAAATAATAAAATAAAATAATAAAATAAAATAAAATGGTATAACTGATGCAGATTCTTGATGAGTAAAACCTATCACTTTAAAAGATCTGCCTGGATCTTTTAGCAACTTCCTTTCTGAAAACAAAAGCATAACATATAAGAATAAAAAATTAAAGGAATCCTTCAGGTGACCTGAACTCCAGAGTTAAACTGAGTTTCATGCAGAATATTTCTGGCACCAGTAAGGAAATGGTTTGTTTTGCTTGAGGTTTTTCTTTTCCTTTTTTACATTAGGTGTACAATTTTGGAATCTGCTGGTCATCGCCATCCAAATACTAATCATGTCTGACCTTGATTTGTTTTTCTAAGATCAGCCTAAATTGACTAGATGCTGATTGTCCTTTTTAAAATTACCATTCCTGCTTTTAAATATTCCGTTCATTTTCAAATATTGTTAACTCTTTTTACGTACTTTGAAAGCCACTTCAGAATGGATTTGAGGAAAGAAATAATTTAATTAAAGAATTTTAAAAATTAGAAAAGCTGTTTTTTTCCTTCTCCATCTTTTTTTAACCAATTAAATCTAAAAGCATTTTTAAAAACATCTGTTTTTCTCTGTTAAATGAATTGGGGATGAGAGGATTGCGGATTTTACTGCATTCAACAAAGTAAGTACATTTATTTGATCCTTTGGCAAAGAAAAACTAAAACAAATGATCAAATTGAAGTGTGCTATGCATAGCCTTTAAAACATGTTCAAGTACAAATTAAGACTAATATTTGTGTTTTCACTTTGCAGCCAAAACCACCCAATCCCGATTGGCGTTATTCTGCATCTTTACGAACTGGAATGCAAGGGTATGTACTACAACAACATTTTTTGGCTATTGTGTTACTTTAAATGAAATAATTCCCTAGGTAGTTCTCCTATCTGTGCTTCTCTGCAAAAGTTTGGAAAATTAGAAGTGTGTACCAATCATCAGATTCAGTACAAATGTGAAATATAATAATTTGGAAAAATGTTTTAATTTGAGGCCACCTAATTCTGAATTCAAAAATCTGAATTTATGTGCTTCCTGCTGGCTAACACTGAAGTCAAGAATGCTGTAGGGGGCCCCTGTTAGTGGCAAAAAATCAGATGGAGGTGCCACAAGATTGCTTATTAAGTCAACAACAGTGATTTTTTTCCTGAGTTTTAAATTAAAAGTAGCTACAAAATACCTTTCTGCATGGATCAATTTGATACATTTCAGATGAATAGCTTGTAGCAAATTTTATGAAACATAGTGTTTAAAAAATGGTGCCATTTTTATAAACATGACAAAGAGCATAGAAGATGACCAATAGATTGTAAAATGTACAAGCAACAGCCTTGTGAAAGAGGAATGATTATTTTTCTCTTTATGTGTAGTCTTTTTTATTTGTGTAAAAATAAGAAGAAATATCAAGATATAAGAAAGATGCAGAAATGTACGGATTTTACAAAAAAATATTGGTTAAAAATAAAAATGTGGCTAGAAGAAATGACAAAACAACAAATAGACTTAAAACCAGAGATGTTCTTGTTGGGTATCCTACCAGTGAAATATAATAAAAGAAATACATATTTAATTTTACATGTGGTAACAGCAGCAAGAATTGTGTATGCACAAAATTGGAAAAATGAAAATATACCTATAGAGGAAAATGTAATAAAGAAGATATTAGAATGTGCTGAAATGGATAGGTTAACATTGAAAATTAAGGATAAAGATGAAACAGAATACTTTTTAACTTTGGAATTATTCTATCAATGGTTAAAAAATAGAAGCAGAAGTTAGAAATTTAGAATTAAGCAGGATAAAAATGAATATTCATTAAATAATGAATATTGAATAATTAGGATGAATATTGAATAATTAGGATGAGTAAACATTATGATTAATAGACTTGGAGGATAATGGTTACAAATATGATGTTTATATGATGTTTATAATGTTTAATATTGTTAACTAATTATAGACAAAACTGAACAGAGTGATTAATTAAATAACAGAAAATGTTTAATAAGGGTAAGTGAAGATCATGGTGAATAGGCTTTGAGAATAAAGGTTATAACTATTGTGTATATAAGATTATTTGTATTTAAAAGAGTTTGTACCCAGACAGTACACTGCCATTGTGGATATGGAAATTTTATATATTACAAAGGAAATTGCATAATAAAAAATAATAACAACAAAAAAATAACAAGAAATATATTGTGCTAGAAATTTGAAATGCTTCAGATCTTTGGAGACATGGTATTTTCATAAATGAAAAACAGTTTTAGGGATTTTTATTTTTATGGTCTGACAGTTATTATTTCTGCTATGGCATGCAAGCTAGGTCTCTCCCTTTCTAATTTTCCAATGAAGCTTAAGAAGGTTGAAATTGTTTCAACCTGTTTAACACTTTCAGTTCCAAATTCCTTGAAAGCACTTGGAAGATAATCCTTAATAGCCTTTGAATCTGCCATCCTTTAAATGCTGGAACTGCAACCTAAACTAATGCTGGTCCTGCACTGAGAAAAATCCTTCCACTCCACTCCACTTAAAATGAAAATTATTGCACACACCCCTCCCCATTTTTATTACATGCATTTGTCTGGTAACATACAAAAATAATTCTCGTGAGGGGGAATTTACAAATCAAAGCACCTTTCCATTTGAAAGATCTGAATCCCAGGAGTCAGAAAAATTGGTGAGAGAATAATTCTTGCAAGTGGGGAAATGTGCTCTGCACATGCTCTAGAGAGCTCTGGTATTCTTTTAGATGCACTATACTGTAACTGAGTCAGAATAAAAGTGGTTAGCTGTTGATTCACAGAGTTACCGAGTACAGATTGGTTATTTATATCAGAAACTGTTTTTCTGAGAAGTGTATAATCTAAACCTTGTGATTTGTTTAGTGCTGTACACATGGAAGAGACAGGAGGCCTGCGTGTTGGATCAGGAGGACCCGAGCAACAGTGGCCAACAGTATCCAGTGCAACAACAGGTAAGGAAATAGCAGTATGCTATATATATATTTACTATTATAAAGAGCACTTTTGAACTGATTTGAAAAGCATGCACTTGTTTGTCCATAAATGAATAACTACAGGTAGTCCTCGATTTACAATCACAATTGAGCCCAACATTTCTTCTTTTTTTTTTTTAAGTTTTATTAACATAAACAAACATAAAACACAAATACATGTAAACACTTATACATTAACAAAGAGTCAATCGACTAACTTCAAGAAAACCTTCGCATCGGTGATTAATGTCCATTTAACCAATTTTCCTTAATCATACTATTTACAAATTCACTTGCTTATACCTTGATATATTCATTGAAGTTCAGCAGTATCTTTCTACAAACATATTAACCATTTATTTATACAATCCTACGGCTCATCTCATGTATCTATTTCTACAATTCTTGAGTTATGTTCTCCTAATGTCCTATGTTGTTGGCCCTATCCTTCTTTCTAACCATGTGTACCATTTTTGCCAAACTAAATAAAAGTCAGTGTTCTCTTTATCTTGGAGCTCTTTTGTGAGCCTATCCATCTCTGCGCATTCATTTATTTTTGTTATTATTTTTTCTTCTGTTGGTATTATCTCGGATTTCCAATTCTGAGCGTACACTATACGTGCCGCTGTCAATATGTGGATGGTAAGATATTTTATCTCCTTGGTACACTGTGGTGTAGTCATTCCAAATAGAAAGAGTTCTGGTTTCATTTCTACACTTTGCCTCGTTGTTTCTTCGATTATTCTCTTAATCTCTTGCCAGTAGCGTTGTGCCTTCCTGCAAGACCACCAGAGATGGTAATATGTCCCCATTTGTGTCTTGCACTTCCAACACATTGGTGATGTGTTTGGAAACATTTTAGCTAAACGTGCCGGAGGAAGGTGCCATCTATAAAATATCTTGTATAAATTTTCTTTGTATGGAATCGACAGTGTCATCTTATAATTTTCTGCCCATAGCTTGTCCCATCTATCCAACTCTATATTGTGACCTATATTTCTTGCCCAGCTTACCATGTTTTCTTTCACTGTTTCCTCCTCTAATTTATACCTTATTAAATATCCATAAATTTTAGATATTATTTTCTCATCTGTGCCTTTTAAAATTTTATCTAGTTCACTTGGTTGGCTTTGAAAATCATAATGTCTCCGGTCTGCTGTATATTTTGACTCAATTTGAAGATATGGCCACCAATCAATCATAATGCCTCGTCTTTCCAGTTCTTGTCTCGTAAGTAGGTCTCCCTCACTACTCAACAATTCTTGATATTTCCGCATCTTTCCTATTTCTATAGTGTTTGGATAAATTAGCGCCTCCATAGGCGACAACCATCGTGGGATTTTACTATAGTGTTGCCTTCTGATATCTTGCCATGTTTTATATAGTGCACCTCTTATTACATGTCTCTGGAAGTACGGATGTTGCTTGTCTGTGCCTTCCCACAGAAAGGCATGCCAACCTCGATTCAGATCAAATCCCTCCAAGTATAGCGTTCTCCTATTTGATAGATCTATCCATTCTCTGATCCAATTCAATGCCGCCGCCTTGTAATATAGCTCCCAGTCTGGTAGACCTAGGCCTCCCTTTTCCTTTGTGTCCTGTAAGCATCTTATTTTAATTCTAGCTTTCTTTCCTTGCCAGATGTATTTCATTATTGTCTTATTGAGATCCTTAAAGAAATCTTTTCCCGGACCAATTGGTATCACTTGGAAGAGATATAGGAGTCTTGGTAATATGTTCATCTTTACAGACGCTATTCTGCCAAGAAATGATAGTTGTACCTTATTCCATCTTTCCAAGTCTTTTCTAATTTGCTTCATCAATTTAATGTAATTGTCCTCTCTAATAGTTGTTGCTTTTGTAGTAAGCCAAATTCCCAAATATTTTACTTTCTTCGCAATTTGCATTCCTAATTCTTCTTCTAATTTTTCCTCTTGTGTCATTGTCATTTTTTTGGTCAAGACTTTGGTTTTTTGTTTATTAATCTTAAGCCCCGCCACTTTGCCATACTCCTCTATCTTCTCTAATAATTTGACTCCCGCTACTTCCGGTTGTTCCACTATGAAGACCACATCATCCGCGAAAGCCTGTAGTTTATACTCCTCATTCCTTATCTTCAGTCCTTTTATTTCTTCTTCCTTTCTTACTTTCTTTAGAAGGACTTCCAGTGAGATTATAAACAGTAGAGGCGATATCGGGCATCCTTGTCTTACCCCCTTTTGGATGCTTATTTTTTCGGTCATATCTCCATTAATTATAATTCTCGCTGTCTGGGAAGAATATATTTTCTTAATCATTTTCAGGAATTTGTCGCCGAAATTCATAATCTGCAGTTGTGCTATAAGGAATTTCCAGTTCAAATTGTCGAACGCCTTTTGCGCGTCGAGAAAGATTAGTGCTACCTGATTATTGATGTTTTGCTCGTAGTATTCGAGAACGTTTATTATTGTCCTCATGTTGTTTTTTATTTGTCTCCTTGGGACAAAACCATTTTGGTCGGGGTGTATATAATTATGTATAATTGTTTTCAGCCTCTGTGCTATAATTGTCGTGAATAGTTTATAATCTACATTTAACAGCGAGATGGGTCTATAATTTTGGACTTTAGTCGGATCCGTATCTTCTTTGGGGATGAGTGAGATAATTGTTTCGGCCCAAGATTTAGGTGTTTCTGCTTCCAGCAGTGCCTCATTGAGAACTTGTAGTAGTAGTTCGTCTATTGCAGACTGGCAGTTTTTATAAAATTCCGTTGGAATTCCATCCGGACCTGGGACTTTGTTGTTCTTCTGTTTCTTTCGGGCTTCCATCAACTCCATCATTGTTATTGGTTTATTCAGTATTTCTCTGTGGGATTCTTCTAATTTCTGGATATTTGCTTTTTGTAGGTATTCCATAATATCTTGGTCTTGAGTTTCTTCTTGTGTGTAGAGGTTTTGATAGAATTCCCTTACTATACGTTTTTTATCTAAATTCATACTATATAGTTGTCCTGTTTCATCCTGCAATTGGTATATTATTCTTTTTTCCCTCTCTTTCTTCAGTCTGTATGCCAGCCAGCGACCTGTTTTGTTTGCATATTCAAAGTATTTCTGCTTGACCATTTTCATTTTCTGTGCGATTTCTGCTTGTGAAATTAAGTTCAACTCATGTTTAGTACGATTCAATTTTTCCCTTGTTGTTTTGTCGTCAGGCTGTTTCTGTAATTGTGACTCATATATGTTGAGTTCTTCCATTAATTTTTTCCTCTTTTGTTGTTTATCTTTATTTTTTTTTGCTGTGTATGCTATTGTGAGGCCTCTTATATAGGCCTTAGTAGTGTCCCACAGATTCTGTACTGAGGTCTGCTCCTTTGTGTTTATTTGATAAAATATTCTAAGTTCGTTCTCCATCATCTGCACATAATCTCTATCTTTTATTATTCCGGTGTCCATCATCCACCTCTTCTGCTTTCGCTGTCCTCTCCATGTTATTTTTATAGGATTATGGTCGGCCCATGTATTCGGTATAATTTCAATGTCTTGTAGATCCTTCCTGAGGTCTGGCGTCATCCAGGCCATGTCAATCCGAGACCATGACTGGTGTGGGTTTGAGTAGAAGGTATATTGTTTGGTTTGTTTGTTGGCCTCTCTCCATCCATCATGTAATTGCAATTCTTCAGTCATATCCTTAAATGTATCCGGTAAGATTCTTTTTCGAGTCTTACTTTGTTTATTACTTCGATAGTCATCTTGTATATTCACGATTGCGTTGAAGTCTCCGACAACACAGATATTTTTGTACTCCAAATCTTTAATTGTATCATGTAGTTTCTTGTAAAATTCTCTCTGGTTTCCATTAGGTGCATAGATAGAAGCTAGCAATATTTTCCTTGTTTCTGTTTGTATTTCAGTTATTAAAATACGTCCTTCCGAATCTGTATATATCTGTTTAGCTTTTAAATGGTTTTTGACATAAGTTGCCACTCCTCTCTTCTTATTATCTCCTAGGGATGTGAATAATTTTCCTAATTTTTGATTCTCCAACAATATTTGTTGCTGTCCTTTAATGTGTACTTCTTGTAAAGTTATCACATCTAAGTCCAATTTTTGCAATTTCGTAAATATATATTTCCTATTCCTTGGGGAGTTGAGTCCGTTTATATTAATTGATATAATTTTTATTTCTCCTTCCATCTCTATCGAGTTTATCTATTTGTGATTTTCAACTTTGCTGTGTTTCTGGTAACTCTTTGAGTCTTTTCCCTCGCTCCCTCTCTCTCCATTCTTTCTCTCTCCAATCTTTTTGCCTCTTCCTGATCTTTTTCTTCCTTCTCCATCCGCCGTGTCCCAGGTTCCGCTTCTCTCCTTGTCTCCTGTTCCTCTTCCATTGTAAAGTGCTGGTCAAAGAATTCTTGAGCCTTTTCCAGATTATCAATCTTGTACTTTCTTTCATCCCAGGAGATAAGTAGGCCTTCCGGTAGTAGCCAGCGGAATTTTATTTTAAATTTATTTAGCTGGGTGGTCAGGAAATTATAATTTCTTCTTTGATCTCTCGTTCTTCTTGGTATTTGTTTGAGAGTTATGATTTCTCTTCCCTTATGCATGATTGTCTCTTCCCTCATCTTCCTGTAGATCTCTTCCTTAATAGATTTTTTTCGTGAATCTTATGTGAATTTCTTTGGGTAATTTGTTTCTTCTTGCGTAGTTCATGTACACCCTATATATTTCATCCATTCCGTTTCGCAGTTCATCCTTATCCACCTGGGTTGCCTTTGCCAGTATCTCAATCATTATTTCACTTAGATCCTCATCCTTCTGCTCTTCTACATTTTGAAACCGTAAGTAGAATGATGCCTTTTCCATTTCCAGATAGGTTAACGCGTCCTCAGTTTCCTTATTAAATGCCCCTTGATCTTGTTCCATTCTTTCCATTCTGTTGGTCGCATATTCTACTCTTTCTTCCACCTTTTGGATCCTCTGCTCGTTTTCTGTTATGTTTTG